CCTTTTCCTTTTTTTAACCGGCCGGTATTTTTCAAAGGGTTTTTGGTTTGGTCCTTTCTTCAAAATGGTTGTTTCCTCCTTATTTTTTAGATTTTCTTGGATTTTGTTTTGAACCCCCCAAACCCTTTCGGTTTCAAAGTTTTCTTCTTGTTTTCTTTTTTCTTTCAAACCTTTTTTTCCCCCTTTTTCCCTTTGGTTTCCTTTTTTTCGGGGGGTGGTTTTTCCCCAGGGGGGGTTTTAACCCGGGGCGGGTGGTTTTTGTTCGGACTTTTTATTTCCTTTTTATTGCAAATTAAATTTTGGAAGTTTTTTTTTTTTTTAAAGGGAGTACTTTCCAATTTTTGTTTTAAAAACAGTGTGGTTGGTTGTATTGGAACTTCTTATTAGCCGGGGGGGGGGGGGGGGAGAGAAAAGGGGCAACAGAAAAGTAACAAGGTGGAAGTTGGCTGCGCGCCACCATTATTTTCAGGAGTCGTGATCGGACGCGGTGCGTTCGTAGTAGTGTGAACAATTGGCACCACGCTCCAGGCTTCTTGATATCATGGACTCGGAACATCACGTTGCCTGTAAAATGCACCCAGCCGGCCTGGAGGGCTTTAATATTGAACTCTTTCACATGTACTTACGTGTGTGGCGAGGGAGGGCAAGAAGAAACCCTGGGTTGGTTTTAGACGAGCTGCGTGTCTTATGCTTTCGCTGAAAACGCCTCGTTACATGTACACCATGGTATCAGATTTGCCTGGACGACCGACCGGCAGAGGCCGGGTTCGTCCTGTCCGCCTGCGGCCACGTGTTTTGCCGGGAGTGCCTGAAGGCCTACGTCACCAGCAAGATCAACGATGCGGAGGTGAGAAAAAGGGAAGCTAACCACACAACATTTACCATTCCCGCCAAACAAACTCGGAAACCCCCCCAGATTTCTGCGATCTGCACCGCTAACCGCACAGCAACAATTCCACCATTCCCGCCAAACAAACCCGGAACACCTCCCTGATTTTTGCTATCTGCACCCAATGGGATTTGGCTCCCAATGGCGTTCCTGCCGCTTCTGCGTGTCGGCCAGGGGGTGGTGTCAGCGGTATATCGACGCGATGGGTGCTCCGTGCGGAACGGGTGATACGGTCCCGATTTGTTCACGGAAACATGCCGGGAGAACGCACTGTTTCACCACTTCCCGTGTTCGTGCCGTTGGAAAGATTAAGATTGTGCGCGTCGGCAAACGGGGGTATGGGCACCGACCTCCTACATGGCCCGCACGCCTGAATGAATCACGGGACCCCCCCCCCCCCCCCCCCCATTGACACCCTTTCTCCCCCCTTTCCCCCCCCCTTCGGTCTTCTTCCAAAAAGTTTATCCCGCGTGCTTTAACGTCGACGAAGGGTTTCGCGCCGTGGAAGGAGGAGAGAAAGTCGGGGGTTCCGTGGGGGTGGGGAGGGAGGGGGCCGGCGGTTGGGGTAGACGCTAGAGGAGGAGGAGACCTAGAACGAGCGGGAGGGGGTGGGGGGGAGGGGGGACGACGACGACAGCAGAACGGGCAGCCACGAGAGGAGAAGCGTGAGGGGTGCGGGGCTGTCATTCGCCCGTCGGACATCAAGGTTCTCATCAAGACGGACGCGACGACGCAACGAAAGTGAGAGCGGCCACGTAGCTTGAGCAGGAATAAACAGGGGATTCACCCAGAAAGAGAAAGGCGGTTAGTGTTTTGAGAGATATGTATTGTCGGGGAAACCGCTCATTATATACCACACCCCCTGGACTGAAATTCAAAGCTCGATTTCTCCACAGCAGAAACAGTGCCGGAGGCGAAAATAACGGCGTCGGAACCGTCTTGTGGAGAGAGAGCTTTCCGAAACGTATCATCGTGTGAGTTACATCCTCTTCTTCTTGGAGTACGTACCGTAAGAGGCGGAGAGATGGCACCCCCCCTTAGAGCGGCTTTCAAAGCTGGGTCGATTGCTACACGACCAAGGGGGTGCGAAAGAGAGCCCGATACGTCTGCGGAGAGCTCTCGACGAGATGTTCCAAAACCACCGTTTTTCTCGATGCTTTCGAAATTTGTCATTATTTTGCGTACCCCCTTTGCTCGCCAAGGGGGAGGGGAAAAAAGCGAAGACCAGGCAGGGCAACACACCACACACGCCCCCGTTCTACTCCTTGCGATCAGTATAAACATCAGCCACTCAACGGACAGAAATATATAAACTCTGAAACGTCACGGCAGAAACAACCCTTGGCCACCACAAGCACACACACGTGCTCTCGCTCGCCCCCGGTAAACACGGCGAAGCGAGTATATACTGAAAACAGGAATCAACACACTCGTCCGCTTCCTGCTTTCTGATTGGCCAACGGTTTATTTCTGCCGCTTCTCACAAAACGCAGATTTCCCTTACTTCGTCAGTCAATCTTTCGCTTTCGTTGCTGGCACACTCACTCTTGGCTGTGGAGCAAAGTCGCTCAAGGGGGGTGCCATCTCTCCGCCTCTTACGTGGTACTGGAGCAAAGTGACAATCGATCCAGGGGATCATATGAAATACATGAGATATCTCTCATGTCGCCTACGGTATTACACATAGTAGCACACATCACCTTTGTTCTGCGACGTAGACTGAAGCCGCCCGGATGGTCACTATTCTCCGGTGGGATCACAGCAGTTGACCGTGGACGGCGGAGGCTGTGCCCCCCTTTGCTGTACAACAACAGATCGTGCAACAGGTCGAGCAACAGGCCGTGCTTTCGGGAGAGAAAATGTTGACAACTCGGCGGATGCGCTCTTGGGATACCTCCGGCGTTGTAGGTCCCCGCCCCCCTCGCGCCCTGAAGGGCTGAAATTTCCTAAACATCTTAAAAACACCATCTCGAGAAATGTTGTTACTCCACAACAGGGAGCGTCTACCCCTACCTCGGGGTTCCCCTGGACCAACAACGGAACCCCCTCCCTGTCGACGTACCGTCGTTTTCCATGTCATGTCCTGAGCAGGTACGCGCGGTTCCTGTTTTCTCGCGAACACAAGACTGCCCGCGAGTGCCCCCGGTGCGCCAACTTGTCGGTGGGAGACCCCTCGGTGTCGCTGGAGATGCGGTGCGGCGAGTGCGGATACGTGTTCTGCTACGAGCACGGCGGGGCCCACCAGGGCAAGACCTGCGCGGAGTACGTCGAGGCTACCGCGGACGGTGCGTGCGTGCGTGCGTGCGTGTGTTTCTCTCTTTCTTTTTGCTGTTCTTGAACTTTAAGAAAAGAACAAAAGAACAAAACACGCTCGTCTCGTCTCTATCCATAGATAAGAAGGGCGTGTGCGTTTTCTCTTCTTGTATCGTAGTATTTTCCGGCTTAGCACGTGAGATTCGTCGACCGCTGACCGGCTGGTAGAAACACGCGAAATAACACGCTTTCTAGCCCGAGGGCTCCCCCTGCAGGAGGACCGCGGTGGCATAGTTTGTACGACAGGGTCGGCCCTGTCTCAGGCGTCATAGCGCTTGCAGAAGAAGACGTTAGCACCATCATGACGTAACTGCTTTCCTCCTGCGGTACATCTACTCTCTAAGTAGCTCGTGTTAGCGTCATGGCCCTGCGGTTGACTGCCGCCTCTTCGATACCGTGGGCTCGTGTGTGCGTGCGTTTGTTTGACTATCTAGCGTCGACCAATGAGTTTACACGGCAGTCAGGCAGTGAATATAATGAAAGTTTCGGTAATGGACTGACGCGCGCCCATTCTTCACTTCGCCCCCTACCACGACGCCCCACCTCAACCCCACTCAGAGACCAACCGAACGATGGCCCTGATCGGGAGGATTACCAAGCCCTGCCCCGGCTGCCAGACTCCGGTGGAGAAGCTCGGCGGTTGCAACCAGATGGTGTGCATGCACTGCAACTGCAGCTTCTGCTGGATCTGCATGGAGCCTGTCGACCGGGGCACGTTCCCCGTCCACTTTCAGGTATTAGATTATAACAGTTTTCTTCGGTACGCCACTACGAAGTGCGTGGACGCTTTTTCTTCACCAACAGCAGCACGCCGCGAATCCACTCGACGTTCCCTTGCTCAACGTTTTTCGATTGGAAGCATCTCTTTTGGCACATTTCCCGCCTCGACTGAGTCGCCGTAAAGATCCTCTGCGGTGCTACTCCTGATGTATGCCGCTGATGCTGTGAGGTTTCTTGGTCCGGGATCCAAGTTCCGGATTGAGGCCACGGTCGGCGCTGTGCCACACTGGTGTTAGGTTGCGTCAGATAATATCGTGGACCTTCCCCCCCCTTGCTCCCAAACTACTCGTTGCCTCTTGCGTCCCCTCTCTCACCCTCGTTTTGTACTCTCCGCCCCCCCCCCCTCGACCACCGCAAGCACTCGCTGACACCCCCCCCGGCCCCGCCCCCTCCCCTTACCGATGCTCCCCCGTGGCGCTCGGTCTACAGTGGTGGAACGTGCGCGGTTGTCCCAACCAGCAGCTGCAGGAGGACTCCCACCAGTCGCCTCGCGGCAGGCAGTGCCACAAGCTCCTCTCGGCCGTGCAGATCGTGGTCGTGGGGCCCCTCGCCCTGCTGCTGACGGCGGCGTCGTCTCTGGCGTGCGTCTGCTGCCTGCCGGCCTTTAGGCTCCCCCCGCGGCAGCTCTTCACGGGGTGCATCTCCGGGTGGGGAAACTTCGTGATGGTGCTGCCGCTGCTCCCCGTTGTCCTGGTGGGCGCCGTGCTGGCCGCTGTCCTGTGAGTTAGGCTGGGATTCCGTTGGCGACGTTAGTTAGCAGACGGACCCTAGAGGTCGCGTTATTAGGTGGCTTTGGCCCAGGTCGGCGGCGGCGGGATGGCTTGCGGCAGCGGGATGGCTTCTCCGTTGATGATTTGGGCAAGGAGAGAGGGCCTAGAAAAGAAATTTGAGCAGATGGGTTTTTCTACTGTTTTTCCAATATACCTGTCATCCACAATCTACTTGGCTTTTCGTATTCTGGTGGGTGCTTCGAGTCTACTTCTACCGTGTCGACCAAGAGTTTTGTCTCGACAAAGGAGAAGTCTGTGGATGGATGAGCGAACGAAGCACGGCATGGTTTTGGTTTGCCAGAGGAAACCCGACATGTTTCGATGCTGCCCCTTCGGCGCGAGGGCAGAAAATGACTCCTGTAGGCCGTCCCGTGATGCTCCGGCATGCATTGTAGCATGTACATGCTTTGCAAGTAGTCGTGGTGCCGCCCATAAACTCGTGCCATCTTGACTCGCTCTAGAGTAATTCTTGGCTTCAACTTTGGTTGTACTGGGTGCAGCATATGTCAGCGCCCGTTCTTGAATACCGTATCCCTAGATACCTGCGCAGCAGGAACGGCTCCCCGCTTTGTGCCCTCCCCCCCCCCGCACGTTGCTCTCGGCGGCCTCGCACGCCCCTCAGTGCTATCATACCCTCACGCTTTACCTTTGTTTTTTTCGACAGGTACCTCGTGATGCTTCCCGCCCGGCTCTTCAAAGTAGTCAGCCGCAAGTGCAGCTCACGCACGACGAGTCTAGACTTGACTGCGCCGCGGACATCTAGCAACAGTCACGACGCTCGCAGCGGCAGCAGCAAAAGTAGCGGCGGCGGCGGCGGCGCAGGTAGAGGGGGCACTGGGCGGGAGGGAGAGGCGGGGGGCGGCGGTGGCGATCCGAGCGCCATCGAAAGCGGTACGATCGGAGCAGCGGCCGAAGCCGAGGCGGAGACTACTAGCAGCAGCAGCGGGGAAATTGGCGCGGCGGCGGGGGTATCGGCGCTGGCGATCTTGACCGAGGTGCTGGGCCCACAGCTGTTACGGGGGTGGCAAGGGGATCAGCGAGACGAAGAGGAGCGGGGGAACGGCGGGCATGACGAGGGGTGGAGGAGGGGGAGGAGGAGGCAGGAGGAAGAAGAAGAGCGGATGCAGACCAACGACGGCGACGAGGAATCCCATCAGGGGCGACGCTACCGGCGAGCCCCTCACCCTTCGGTCTTGTCGCCGCATTCGTGGATGCCTCCTCCGCCTTTCCACCAATACAGCAGCGGCGGCGGCGGAGGCGGAAAGGGCGACGAGGTTTTGGCAGCACCGTCGTCGTCGTCGTCGTCATCATCATCACCACAGGAGATTCTAGAGGCGGGGCGGCGGAGGCCTGGGGCTTTTTCTATTCCTGAGGTGGAGGTGGTCTCGTCCCTGTCCTCATCCGCTCTTGGTGGCAGTAGCACGACTGCGGCGGTAACGTCGACGGCGGCGCCTGATGGCGAGGGTAGAACGGACGAGGAAGGAGGCGTGATTTTTCGCGACGGCGACGCTTCCCGGTGGTCAGCCGGAGAAGTTACCGTCGGCGAGGCTAGCGCCGTCGCGCCGCCGGTCGACGAAGAACCCCTGCCGGAAGCGGCGGCGGAAGCTGGACGTGATGATGGCAGTGTCGGTGTTGATGGGGCAGTGTTGGGGTCCAGGGTGGTCGCGGTGGGGGATGAAGGAGCGCCGCCCGTGGGAGCAACGGTGGGGGCATATGTACTCGAGAGTTGATGTAGTGGTCCTTTTGATGCGGCAGATGTACTCGAGAGTTGATGTAGCGGTGCTTTTGATGCGGCAGATGTACTCGAGAGTTGATGTAGCGGTGCTTTTGATGTGGGGGTCGAGCGGAGAGTCGGTTCTTTGTCTTAACGGCCATTTTGTTTGTTGAGTGCTGTGTTCTCGTGGTGTTGAGTGATGATGATGATGATGATGATGCCGCTGCTGTGTAGATACGCACCGTACACGGCTGAGTGAGAACTGGCGCTGATTATGTTGTAGATTCAAGTAGTTAGGAGGCGTAGATCATCCACCCAACCCCTCCGGTCCGTTCCGAGATAATTCGCCGGAGTTTCAGAAATTGTTTGGCGGTGGCTCTACCCTCCATTAATTTCACTTTCGTGTTATAGATGCATGCCGATTGCTTTGTGGTGTGGCTTGGTTTTCTTTGTGTCCTTTGGTGACGCGGATGACCGTCCTTGTTGTGTCCAGAAGTCTGAGTCGACGAAGCTTGGCAAGCACAATCATGGAGCGACGATCGTAGCGTGATTATTCCGATGAAGACGCAGTCCTTGCAGTCGCGATGCGACGACGTGGTTGAGGTTCGCTCGGGCCTGGACACCTGATCACCACGTAACCTTTTTTTTTTTTTTCCACGAACGTACGACCGAGA